GGAGACGTCAGGGGGCGGTGGGAGAAGTGGGGAGTGGGCCGGCCCGGGGAGCAAACTCGACAGGCTCACTCCTCACCCACCCAGTCCTTCGTTCAGCAAACCTGCACCCAGACCCAGCCAAGGATCCAGAAACACGCTCCCAAAACCCGGGCCTGTGGGGTCGAGCATCCCAGCCCTGTCTTCACAGGGCGAAGCTTCTGCAAGGCCCCCACCCAAGGTGAGCAGGAGGGAGGCCCAGGTATGGAGTCCCCGCTCCTGCCAGTGGGCCTGGGGCCACTGGGAGAGGGAGGAGGGCTACGGGGAGGTGGGGACCCAGCCCAGTCCAGGGAGCGTCCAGGGCTCAGCAGGCGGCACATGCTCAGGGCCTGACAGGGGCCTGCGCTGCGAGCTGGAGCCAGACCCGCTGCTGGCGGGCAGGCAGCTGTGACCTTGCTCATGGACAAGGGGGTGCCGTCTGCCTGTGGACAAGATAGAACTTGATTCTGGGCAGGAAGAGGCTCATGTGTGAGGCAGTGATGGGCGGGTGGAGACAATAGGAGAGGTTCCAGGGGTCCCTGACCAGGGGGAGATCAAGGCTGTTGAGATTGGGGGTGCGCTGGGAAGAGGATGTACTGGGAATGTGCTGGGACATGAGCTCTCCTACCCATACGTCCCTTCCCTTTGGGAAAAAAGATCTCACTTTGAAAAGCAGCTACAACCAAGACAGAAGGGGAGGCTTGGAGCAAGGCCGGCCCCATTCAGCTGAGCAACGGGCAGCTGGCGGGCCTGAGGGCTTCCCAGGGTGCTCTCCAAGCCCCTCCCGCTCGGGGGTAGGTGGCTGGTCCCCACCCGGCAGGCAGGCAGAAGGAACAGGCACCTGAAAGCCTGGGGTGCACCCGGTCTCCGCTCCCTGGGCGTTACATGCGGAGCCACCCCTTCCACAGCCATCTCTCTGAGGAGCATGAAGTTGCCACAAACGGCCAGGAATGTGTCTCTATCGGCTGGAGTCTGAGCAGCCAGGACCTCCACACGTCACACCTGGACGCTCCCCTCCCGGTGGTGCTGCCGGGAACAACTGCGGACACCGGCCGGCCGTGCCGAGGTGGGGAGCGCTCCCGGGTGGTCTGGAAAGGGTGCCCGAGGGCTGGGCTTTCCAGCGGCGACTCTAGTTCCTCTCAGAACGCACCTGCCCACCTGCCGGGCCAGCGGCCAGCGATGGATGCGCTGGAGACCCCGGGGCAGGGACACGCGCACCAGGGCCGGCGTGGTTGCGGGAGGAGGCCAGTAAGGGGAGGGGAGTGTGGGGTTTGGCTGGGGTCTGGAGAAAAGCTGGGGAGAAGCCACTGCCACAGACACGGGCAGGAAGACGGAGCGCAGGGAGCGGCCTCACACAGGCCCGGCAGCGGGCTCAACCCTCATGCTCTCAGGGGTGGAGCTTGCCGAGCCCTGGCCTGGAGGCATGGAGTCTGGGCCTGGTGGGCAGACCGAGCTGGGAGGAAGGGACCCTGAGGTTGGACGGGGCCGTCCCAGGCGGCTTCCATCCCTGGAGAATTCCTGTCTGTCCCCGGCTGAGGGGGCAGGGGAGACCTGCCCCACGGCGCTGAGCGTCGTTGCTGGCTCAGGAATGAGGACCTGGCCTTGAGTTTCTCCCCCTCCACCCCACACAAGGCCTAACAGACAGGAGAGCAGAGAATAAAAGTGCCAGCAGCATGCCCTCAGCCTTGGGCCTGGGGCATCCAGGAGGGACCTGCCCAGAGCACAGGACCGGCCCTGTCACCTGCAGGCAGGGCCCTCACAGCTCCCCTGTGCACACGCCCCACCTTTCATGGAGGCAGGAAGAGGGCTGCCTCCAGGGGCTGTGGGGTCCCAGGATCAGGAAAGGGACGCTCTCAGCAGGTGCCAGGGCACCTTCCATGGACAGGGAGCCAGGCAGGCCAGCGGGACACCGTGAGCGAGGGCGGTGGGCAGCATGGTCAGGTGACATGGCGGTGAGCCAGCCTGTGTGGGCGGACCGGCTCCAGGTGCGATGTGGACGCTGCCCGGACACAGAGCAAAGTGCACAGACAGGCCGGGAGGCCACCGCTTTAGAGCAGCGATCGCCAGCCTTCGGACCTCACGGGCCATCAGCGGCCCACAGGCCACCGGCTGGCGACCACTCTTTACATTAAAGATGCAAAATAGATCGTGGAGGCTTGGAGGAGACGGGAGACACCAGAATGGAGGTGGGAAAAGGGTGAGTGGGAGACGATTTGACCAGAGAAGGCAGAGTTCCGAGGAGCCCAGTGTCTGGAGGGAGCAGTGGTGCGGGGCCTCGAGGGCACTGGGGTCGAGGCTGTGTCGAGGCCTGCAGGTGAGGCAAGGACAGTGTGGACTCACTGGCCAAGAGCAGGAAGAAGGCACTGACCACAGGGGAAGGAGGGTCCGATGAGGCTAAGAAAATGTGTAAACAAGCCTAGGCCCCCGGCCCACGGGGCTCAGGGGTGGAGCACCGACCTATGAACCAGGAGGTCAGGGTTCGATTCCCAGCACATGCCTGGACTGCAGGCTCGACCCCCAGCGTGGGGTGTGCAGGAGGCAGCTGATCCATGATTATCTCTCATCACTGATGTTTCTCTCTCTCCCTCCCAGGCAGCACATGCTCAGGGCCTGATAGGGGCTTGCGCTGCGAGCTGGAGCCAGACCCGCTGCTGGTGGGCAGGCAGCTGAAATCAATAAAAAACTATTAAAAAAAGCCTAGGCCAAGGGCAGAGGGAGTCCGCCCAGGAGCCCGTCCTGTAACTGAGGGGAGCGGGGCTATGGGGCTCA